GAACGCAAGACGCGGTGATGGTCTTGGCGAGGTGAAGGGAGATGCGGTGTGTGATTTTGCGCGCGTAAGAGCAGGGGTGCTATTCCGAAGCCAGGAGGCGGGTTGATGGTGCCACTCACGCTACGTGGTGAGGACGAGACTGGAGTGGCGGAGCGCTGGATCTGCTGCCATGGCGCGGGCGACGGACGCCGGATGATGGTCGGGCGTGTATACGGAGGAGAGGTGGAATTGGTCTGCGAGTCTCTGCGCCGCCATAAAACACCTAGAACGGCATCTTCGAGCGCCTTGCCGGTCAGAGAGGCCTCCTTCCTGAGGACTTCCTCGAGCTTGTCGGTCTTGTCCTCCTCAGAGATGGAGTCGTCCCGCAGGACCGGCAGGCAGATGTCGTAGATCTTGTCCGAGACCATGTTCTCGTGAAGCTATGCTTAACAGGGGTACTCCGGAGATGGTACTTGATAACGCGCTGCATAGAAGGGGGCGACAGCTCTCAAAGCAGTCGGGTTGTTGTCGTTAGGCGCGGAGGACACGGAGGGTTGGTGGCAGCGGTAAGGGCAGGCCACGCCAAACGCGGCGAGGTCTCAGGCGAGTGAAGGCGGTGGCTGCTTAGCAGGCGCTGCTATAGGGCAGTGTTGTCTGAGTGGGAAAGCGTGACGGGCGAGGGGTGATGATGGCCGTTGTTATCGTCGCAGATTGGGAGGTGGCAGTGTGGAGGAAGCGAGAGAGGCTCCGGCGGTGCTGCAACGTTCAAGCTCACCGTCACCGTCACTGCCTCGCCTTGCCCTGGACTGACAGCAACTGTGGAGATGGACGATCTACCGCTTCTTGGCATGCGAGATCGAAAGTCGCTCTGCTCCACGCTTCTTCAGCGCTTCAGAACTGTTGCATTCGCCTAGCGCGAATAAGAACGATGCTCGTAAGAAGTGTTCGATTTGTAACGGCACACAACTGCCCCGTTCCGGAAGGTGTGGACGCATCTTCTATTCATGGCCCATCTTGCATTGAATTGAATGCCAGCATCCCGGCCAGCCGCTTATATAAGGTTCAGTTGACTAGCGCCCGTAGGAGCCGCTTGCTGCAGCTTCAGCTTCCATCGAGCTTCATATGAAAATCGTTCTACAACAGTCATTACACACGAACTCGACCGCACAACACATCAACACGCTCTACACTGTTTCCGTCATGGCAACAGCTACCGTACACCCGTCACTCACCGATCAGATCGTCAATCCCTCCTCTGCGCCCACCCCACAGCTCGGCTTCCTCCCCTTCCTAAAACAAACCTATCCCGGCTTCGGCTACCCCTCCAAGCTCACGCGGCCCATCTGCTCCGCATACAAAGCAGGTCACTGTCCACTGGGTCCAGCATGCCCTGATCGCCACTACACGCCGCCCAACGAGCGTTCCGGAATCGGCCATCTCATCTGCAAACACTACCAACGAGGGTTATGCAAGAAGGGAGACGCGTGCGAGTTTGCGCATACCTTTGATCTGAGGGGAGAGAGGGAATGCAAGGAGTTTTCGCGATACGGAATCTGTCCCCAGGAGATGACTGTAAGTGTTGCTTCTGTTTTTGCTGCTCTGACGGACCTGTCGCATCTGTACTATGTGCAGGGCACGCTGACGCGATGACTTGATAGGCACATACATCCATATCGCGCCCACCTCCCGCTCCGCCTTCCGCCCTGTCCGCACTATGCGCGCGGCTTCTGCCCATTAGGGCCCCACTGCAGCCTCCGACACATCAAACACGCCAACATCTGCCCCTTCTACCTCGCCGGGTTCTGTCCGAATGGTCGCGCCGGTCCGCCAGATAGAGATAACGTTGTATCTTGTGAGCACGGAGCGCATCCGAAGTGGATAGATGACAAGGACATGAGGAAGCCCGAAGTGCGGAAAGTCAAGGATGAGGAGGAGTTGAAGAGGGAACAGGAGGAGCGCGAAGAAGAGTTCTACGCAGAAGAGGAGAGGAGAAGGGAGAGGTTTGAGCGGGGTGAAGGCGGAGCGGGAAGAGGCTGGGGAAGGAGACGGAGAGGGGTGGCGGTCGTGGTGGATGGAGAGGCGGTAGAGGAGGTTGAGTCGGGGAACTTTGGAATATGGGATCATGTCATTCTTCGTTAGCGTGGCGTTGGTGGGCAAAGGATATCATGGTATGTTTCCTCCTTGACAAGGGGTTTGTGTTTCTGTGCTGCCCGAGGATGGTCAGATTCGACGAGGAGGACAATGCGGAGTGTGAAAATAAGACAAGGTCTGCACACTCGTAATGGCGAATCGCTTATTCCCTTCTCACTATACTCACATATAAATGCATGCAGATACGTGACGAGATGTGTGACCTGAGTCCCAAGCTCATGCTCGAATCTAGACGAGTGCAAGCGCCACACCAACCTGACCGTCATTCACACTTCCTCAAGGCAACCTTCAGAGTAGGATGTCAAACAAACGCGTCTTGCGGTGTTTTCGCGTTGCTGAGCCCGCATGCTGCAGCGATTCGTCGACTCGCGTAGCCTCGGCTCTACCGAATGGTCGAATCGGGAAGAGGGTGATACCGAAGTGACGGTGGGATTAGGTCACATGATCCCTCTATCTTATATTAAAGTTGGCGAAGGCTTGGAACCCCAACTCAATGATGAGAACCTTACCAGAGGGCCTGAAGAAGCCTCGAACGGCACATGGCTGGCTGAACCACCACCTTGACACCTCATCAAACTCACAGATTCAGCTTAACGAGGGACTTGTTATGCATGTTCTTGACCAAAAAGAGAAAAGTGTATAACACGTTCAGCCTGGGCAGGAACTCAACTGGTGACATCCTTGTAGGCAAGAGAGTACAAGAAGGTAAGCTCAAGCATTTCTTCTGTGCACAACCTATGCTTGAAACGCGCCGATATCTATCTTACCATGTGGCGTTCTATCTCGATCCCTTTGCTGCTCATTCTCTCTCAAGCGGTCGAACCTGCCTTGTCTTTGGCTGTCCGTGACAGCGCCTTGACAGTCAGCAAGCTCGGGCTGTGCGGACCACTGGTCAAGCAGACATGTATCGGCTCCAAGTTCGGCAGCTCATGTTCCCTGCTCGGATTTTGCGGCCCACAGAGTAACCCTCTATACAGTGGGGTCGGTTGCCAACCAAAGTACGGTGTGTGCGGCGTTGTAGCGGTTTCGTCTTCTGCAAAGTCTAGTACGTCGAAGACCTCGTCGCGAACATCGAGCTCGAGCAGGACATCAAGCTCGAGTAGGACATCGTCTACGTCGTAAGTAGCCATACGTTTTGCTCAGAGCGCTGCTCATATCGTCACAGTTCTCGCGCGACCACGACTTCCAATTCGAGATCAACATCAACATCAACGACTGCTGCAAGCGTCAGGACCCCGATACCTACCAAAACCTTCACAGGCACCATCGCCACCCTTTCCGGCTCTGCTGTCGCAATAAAAATCCTTCGTTCGAGTCCAGCACTGCCAATAGCAGAATCAAGCGTGGTGCGTCCCGTCAGCAGAAGCGGCAAAGCGCGACACAAACGACCGACACCACTGAAGGCTGGACCATCGGGGGTGCAATGGCGGCACCGGGACCTGCTTCTTCGAAAACTACGACGCTGCAGTCGGTACCTGGGCCTTCTCGGCTGCTAATGGCGGCTCGATCTATCAGGATATTACGATTCCCTTCCCTGGTGGGTTCTCCTTCACGTTCTACTGGAAGACCGTGGTCCCTAGCGGCGTCCAGACCGTTCAGGCCATTTTTCTCGGCCCGACAAGCATAACGGAATGTGGCAGCTGCTTGACACTCGATACGCCCAGCATCGTGAATGCGAACGGGGACTGGGCCCTGCAGACGTTCCCAGGCACGATCTCGGAGGACGTGGTGGCTAGTTATGGGACTGACAACGGAGACGGTACCGCGACGTTCAGAATGTGGGCCGCCGCGGCGCCTTGCCCAAGTGCGGCGGTGTTTTGCTACAATGCGGCGACGCCTAGTCCTAGTTTTACGTGGTATGTGGACGAGGTTAGGGTGGTGCAGACGTCGACGCCGACGCCGACGCCGACGCCTTCGTCTTGATCCCCCTTCACTGGCTGGAGATATTACTGTTCATTACATCAATTGGGAATACACAGACAGATGGTGTCGCGGCCGCTGAAGCAATTTATAGAGAGATCAACTATGCTCCTCAGAAGCGTTCCCGATGGTAGAGATGCATCGGATTCGAATCGGACTCGTCCACCCCTGGCGTTAGGTGTCGATAATTCGTCTCCTCTCCACGATTAAAGTAATAAGATCGAGCCACTAGAGCTCGAAGTATCGCATACCTCCTTGTTCCTGGCACCTACCAAACGATGTACGGCGCTGCGGCACTTCTCTAGACTCTAGGCAGGTTCGCGCGCGTATCGCGTTATGGTCTGCTATATATAATACTAATACTGCTTATCTTCCATAGCAGAGCATCAGTGGTTTAGTGGTAAAATCCATCGTTGCCATCAAATCCAGATGTCGATGGGCCCCGCGTTCGATTCGCGGCTGATGCATTTTTTGCCCTTATACAGCATATATATACAGCCCCAAGATCTGTGGTTATCATCGAGACAGCCCAAGGCAAACTTTTTGGGTATACTCCTAGTATTTGATACGACAGGCAAACAGCTCTATCTGTGATGAGCCGTGTATGGTTGGTTACACGGAACCGGCTTCTGATCCCCGGCAGTGCTTCCCACGCCTGTGCTAGCAACTCCATGCTGTTAATACCAACAAATGCCCTGCTGAATACCCTGCTGAATACCCTGCTAAATCATGTCGACTTATCACAACATACTTAAGTAAGTTGCAACCTTCTATGAGACGTCTGTCTTTCTTACCAACAGAAAATTGCCTTCGTACTCATGTGTAGCAGGCTGTTGCCGGAGGTCGCCGAGACTATAAAACAAAACTTATCTTTTCTTTCTTACTTACCATCCATCACCTTCCTGAATTCCATGTCCTTGCAACAAGATAAAGTGCAAAAGCAAAAGGATTGCATCAGCCGCGAATCGAACGCGGGGCCCATCGACATCTGGATTTGATGGCAACGATGGATTTTACCACTAAACCACTGATGCTCTGTCACTGTGATCTGACTTGAAATACAATTGTTTTCTATTGTATATATTGTATCACCGCTACCTCAATACCGTCTCCCGTTATTCCACAGTGCTTCCTCCTGCCGCTCGAAATCTCCTTGAAAACCGACTAAATCGACACAACCCGACGCTTGGGAACAGGCATCAACAGTCTCGATATGAGGATAGGCTGATTGCAGTACTGGAGATCCATGAGCCCGTATAGCACACTATTATTCGGCCCATAGTTTAGATTGCTTCAACTTGTCTGCATACGTTGACGGACTTCAAGACATATTTAATAGATCGGCCTCGCCTCAAATTGCTTCCTGGCGTAGTACTGATACACCTTCGCCGTCTTGACACGGAAAAGCTTGCCCCGCCAGATGAAGAGGGCGGCGGAGCACAGGATGGCGACGCTGAATGCGCCGATCATATTGAACACGTTCGCCATGCCGATCGCGGCGATCCACGCAGGCATTGCGAAGACGAAGATGGTGCTGAAGAGGTTGCGGACAAATGTCACTCCGGTGAGGGCGTCGCCGATAATGTCTATAGAGCATGAGTCAGTGCTATGGTGCAAGACACATAGATCGATGGGGGACTTACCATTGTACGCATCGAGCATGTAAGTCAGCGCCAAACTCTGGATCGGCGCAGAGCCGAAGTTACAGAATCCGTAGGCGACGGCAACCTGGGGCCAAGGCCTCCCTTGTGCGAGCGAGTATCCGAACCACCAGCCGCCGGCAAGCTGGAACGGAATGAATGGCAGGAAAACCCAGAAGCGCATCTCAGGCTCGTAGATTCCTCTGTTGCGCTTCGCTAGGCGCAGGGCCACATAGTCGGAGATTGGACCGCAGACAATAGTACCCAGTGTAGTGCCAACGAACGGGGCAAGGCTCATGAGGCCGATTTGCGACGCGTTGAAGTTGTAGGGTGGATCAAGCATGTACATGCTAACTGCGGTGGTCTGGACAGTAGATTGGGCGGTGAGCAGGGCGTAGATGAGCGCGCAGTAGAGCACACCGGGGATGGTAGCGAGAATCATGAAGGGTTGCCAGGAATGTCGGAGGAAGTGCGACCACGGGCCGGGAGTCGCGGTCAGCAGGTTGAGACGCTGCCAGTACGGCTTGCGCGACTTGTTGGGAGATATGTGAAGGCTATTGAGCTGGTGGGCAAGATCTTCTTGCGAGTTGATACCGACGACTGCTTGACCCGGTGCAGTGAGAGTCTCTTTCGAGACCTTGCTATTGGTCGAGAGCGGGTTTTGGTCGCCTGTCCCTGAACCTGGAACGGTGACCACACTTCCCTGACGTGCTTCCAGTGTTTCGATGTGCGTGTACTTGGTCTCCTCAAACCCAAAGACGAACATAATGCTCTGGATGCCGAAGAAGATGGCACACCACCACCAGACCCATCGCCAGCCTTGGTCGACCGTGATGAAGCCAGCTGCGACGATTGCCAGGTTGGAACCAACGTTAGCCGTCCAGATGTAGATGGCGTTCATCAAACCACGCTGATGCACAAAATACATGTCGCCGATGGTCATCTGGATGAGGACTTCTGAGAGCGCACCAATCCAGCACTGGACAGAGTTCACACCCCACCAGTCTGCCGCTGTTTGAGTCCTGGCGGCCCAAATGGCAATGGCGAACTGCGCAAAGGACGAGATCACGTACACTGGCCTTGACCCATACTTGAGTGCGAAGGGTATGAGCATCGGCGCTCCGAGGGCCAGCGTAGCGCACCCTATCGCGTATGTGTTCGTCAAAGTAGCATCACTGAAGCCCAGCTCGTCTGCCAGCGGACCCCACGTCGGAGAGGTTGCGTTCACGAAGGCGAACACCATCATGGCATAGAAGGACGCGAGGAAGTAATTGAGAGACTTCTGCCATTTCGGCCAGTTCAGGGGGTCGTTAGGGTCATCGGTGGGTCTTGGTTGAAGTATGACCTCCGCGCTCTTCTCGCTCTTCGTCTCAGCTTCGAGGAGCTGTTGGAGCTTGACAGTCCCCGGCGGCCATGCTGGGTCGCTGAAGTCGTCCATTGCGGCTGTTGGCAGGTACAAAATAACTTGCAGACGGGCAAGAAAAATGGGTGAGGGGCCGAATGAAATATGACTTCACGAGCTACCTTTCATCTTATACTTGCAATGCTCGACTTAAAACGCTTATCGCAGATCGAGAAGCCTATCAAAGCAGCCGGGCCAAAACTTCCAAATGAGAGCGCATCAGCGCTGACGAGGGTGCATGCGGGACCAATGCCAATAGAGTTTCCCAAAGCGTAGATAAGGCTGGCGAGATTGCTGCGACTTCCCTTGTGCGTTTCAGTAGCAATGAGTTCCGGGACTCGGAGGGCGAAAGCATTGCCGATATTCTAGACGTTCGAGTGGCCTGGAACATTAGCGTACGGGGCATAGATAAGACCAGCATGCCATGGCTTCTTCGTGCTTCTGCCTCCAACACCCTTCCAAAGGGTAGTTTGGCGCGGTAAGTAGGCGAGAGAAACAAATGCATTCAGCCTCTGCTGGTTCTTTTATCAGAGCCGTATAGGTTATCGAGTGCTTGTTACCGGCCGAAACTCGAGTTATCTCCTGATCCAGTGGCAAGGCGCAAACGTGAGTATGACTGGCGAGTGGTCGGCGGTTCTGACATTGCCTATCAGAAAGCAAGCAGGGATCATCCGCCTTGTTTGATTGTCCTGCAGTTGTTCTATCGCGGGCCTGTTCTATCGCGGGCCGTGATAAACGGATGGGGAAGTCGTATGCAGGGCAAAGGCTGAGCGCGGAGGTTCGGAGAAGCTTCTCTGCCGACAGGACAATGAGAGAGGCACATTGCGGCTGCTTCCGAGACGCGTCTTCTCGTCTCTTTCACGATGCCACCATGGACGATTTCCATGGACACACGTACTGCACTGTACATGCCGTGCGGTTTCCGATCCGAGGTTATTGCACTTCGCAAAAGCAGCGGGGAACATGGGCGCTTCGAGTAGTACCTACCTAACTCTCAATGCTGCCACACTCGATGGGTCGTGCCGTGCCCTCATCACTCCGCCGAGGCACGCCGGAGTAGAGGCGGCATGATATGCGATGCTTCCTGCCGTGGCTGGTTGATGTTTCTGCGGGAACAGTCGTCAGTTGTCGGTCGAGTTTGAACGTTCAAGAATCAGAAGTAAAAGGACAGTGCCATTGCGTGCACTATTTACAAACAAAATCGGGCCCGCGGCCTCCGGAGTCGCTTTGCATGGTTTGCACTGACATGATACAATCGATATCGTGTAGGGCTGGCTCTACCATTAAGCAACCAGCGAGGCCTTCTGCGCAAGGAACTCTTGCAATGGCCTCGCTTTTGGTGGCGAATGCTGGATCACGGTTCCACAGCATAAATCCGCGTAGGCATCGGGGCATCTCGACAACACAAGGGCCCGATGAGAAGCGCGGATTTCCACCGGAGCAAAGGGCCCCCGAGAAAGCATCATCACAAGTGCAACAGCGACATGGTTGGTACGGTTGGTGTCACAATGACTTGTGTCTCGCAGAGAAGCGAGCGGACCCGTCGAACCACGTTGCTCACACCACAACGCCGGGAACCTCCCTGAGCCTATCATTGGCGAGCTTGCTGACTGTGTCCTATGGCGGCTGTTCGAAGGCTCCGGGATGCGATACGGATGCTGGGGTTGATGATGGCCCCTCACACTGCTGACTGCCTATAGATGTACCTACCGCCAGCCACCACCTGGGCAACAATGTGTCCAGCAGCGCTCATCGTGGTGGCGCACCGTCTGATTTTGCAGTACCCGTACAAGTCTCTTAGTTGCCTGACCTCGAGCGCGCCGCAGCTTCTCTTGTGACAAGGCTCTGATAACTTAGCACAGACGGATTGAGCTGACTGGAGCGATTCCGCCAGGGATCTCTGGCACGCGCAATCAGGAGATCCTTCACCACAACACTTGAAACGTAAGGCCTACGGAGCCCAAATACGGGTGGTTTGTCGGGAGGATACTTACTTCTATCACTTAGTTTAGGTCGTGTTTCAGTTCACTGCATATCACAATTCGGATCATATAGCAACACTCTCGAGCGCGATGCTTACATACACGGCTCGTCGGAAAGCGCACGGAGTGGCTAAGCTGCTCCAGAGCTTCTTGTTTCTTCTACTTGTTACGTTTTCTTCGGCAGCAGATGAAAACGCCATATGTGCACGGTGGCATCATGCTTGTGAGTGGAGCTTTCTGCGCGCTTGAATAATCTTCTGATCACATCTTTCCAGCTATGCTCAAGAATCCCCAGGTTTTTGTTGACGGCGGAGTGCAGCTCTTTCGAGACAATGGAACCACATGGCTTGGATTCAGTAAGTCATCCCTTGATGAGAATGCCGCAGACTAGCTTACCTACAGGCCGATATATTTATCAAATCGACCTGGGCGATTCATGGGATACTGCCACCAACTACACCGTGACGCAAATCGGCAGGTTTGGCAACGGCTTCAATCCTCCATACATGGTCCGCGGAGCTCTGTATAGAAACTCTTTCAAAGATTCGAAACTCTTCACTTTTGGAGGCTCTACTTTCATCGCCAACACCACCGACCCAGCCTGGACGATGCCAAGCTCGGATGAAATATCCCTATGGTCGTACGATACATCTTCGCAGACGTGGGCCCAGTACGACGTGTCTTCCGCTGTGCCGCGGCGTCCGAATCGGGGCTTGGTCACAGAGGCGATCCCACTTGGCACTGGGTTCTTTGTTAACGGCCAGATTGATCGCGGCTCTGATAGTGCGTTGTATAGCGCGGTCGAGTACGTCGGGGGCGTCGCGTCTAACTCTACAAACGACGAGATCTCTTACCTTGACGGTATGCTCATTGTTGACATGGCGACACAGACGGTAAGGAACGTCTCGACAGAGACGCTCGGAGCCTCTCGCGTGGCCGGAGGTCTCGTCTGGGCTCAACGATTCGGCAAGACAGAGAATGGTACGGTAGTCGCCTTCGGGGGCATGCGG